ATTGCGGGTTAGGGTGGACCTGAGAACAACAGAAGGGTGCTTTAACGCTCTTCAAAATCTCCAGAACAGGGTTCTTGCTGTTGGATGTAGTTTATTGCCATGTCCAGGGCGATATAACCGCGGTTTTTAACCAATCTATCGCATAAAGGAACGGCACCCTACTGCAGGAAAATCTTCCGGTTGGTCAGTCATGAATCGACAGTGACATATAAATTGCTGAGTATAAATTTGTGAGTAACTAAATAGTTAAAAATATTTTACAAAACTTTAAATAAAATAACCTCTTACTTAAAATTGATTACTGCTAACAATTTCAGCCGTCAGCTTTCATCTTACCCACACACAATTTCAGCCGTCTGCTTTCATCTTACCCACACACAATTTCAGCCGTCTGCTTTCATCTTACCACACACAATTTCAGCCGTCAGCTTTCATCTTACCCACACACTCTTGATCTGTCTATAAGGACTAGAATACACAGACAAGATTCACTAGAGATGCGTAAGATATGTTCTAAACCGATCTTCTTTCGAGTTTATGCTTGCAGACTCAAGAATAAACCCGACTAAATGTTGTTTTGCACTCATGTATAAACTCAACCAATGCTTGCAAAATATAAATCAAATACGCGTTCCCGTACGTTCACCGAAGTACCTAGATGAGTAACTGATAATAGCTCGGATAATTGTCAATCGAAGAACCGAGTTTCAAGTCCAGTTGGGTTCGTTATATTCATTTAGGCGCAAATACCCTGAGAAAGGCATGAACCCCCTCATCTCCCCTCTAGCTATGGGATAATTAGTAAGAATTGTAGTACTAAGCCACTATTATCTCAAAAACAAATCTTACAATCCAAAGATATTTTCAGGCTTTAAATAGCTTGTAAAGGGTTGAAAAGCCGCAAAAACTACTCAGTCAATCAATAATAATTAAACTAATGCTTACCTACAGACTAAACGAAACCCGATTAATGGTGACTAAATTATCAACACAACCAATGTTCAGAAATAGACTAACGTATAAATCCGACCATTCTTCTAAAGTATAAAACCGACTATTGTTTACATATAGACTAAAACGAAATCTCGACCAATATTTATCTATAGACTAAAGAAAAACCGGCCAATGTTTACCTATAGACTAAAGTAAAATAATTATAAAAAAAACTTCCACATTAAACAGCCCAATAAGTGTTGATATTTTGTAATAACGTACCAACCCAACTGACTGTCCACCCAGCTGTATACTTCTAAACAAACATAAATATTTACTTACGATATTTATTTAGTGTATCTTAGTTTCACTCCTGACACAGAAATGAGAAATTGAAGTCGGAAGGCCGCCAGTCTTGCAAATGAAAACTGCAGGCCTGCTTCAACATCGGGAATTCAGAAATTTCGTTTTTGACTCATCTTCGAATGGTTTCAATTTTTTCGGCATTAAATGAAAATTTGACGGGCGCAGTGAATCAGTTTCGTTCATTTGCAAATGACAGGGAATTCAAAGGTTATTTTCCATGAATGCGAATCAGAATGCCTGTCTGCAACAAGAATTTAAGGCTTCACGCCAACTTCCATATAACTCTTTGAAGCAATCATTTGAGAATTTTCAAATCTAATTTGAGTATAAGTTACAGGTGCAGTAAAAGCGCACTGACGAAATATCACGCTAATATTCCTAGCAAATTATTGTCTATATAGGATTACGCTCGAGTCGTCAGCACTATGTAAGCTTAATCACCTGCATTTTCATCTTGTCTTCCCGCATTTTCTTACAATGGAACACCAAACTGTTTAGCGACGTCTCGTTTGATTAACTATTAATAATTCAATAATCTGGAAAAAAACCACCCGAGAGAAGTTGATTTCGCTTAACCGGATGAGACAGAAATTTCAAACAGCTGAGCGTTCTTTAATTTCAGTCCGACTTAATATTAATTCGTTTTTCACTTAATGTCTTTTCTGTAAGTTTCGAGAATTCATTATCATTCCGAAGATTGTTCTGAATGATAAATGTTGTTCTTTTTGTTGATTGTTCTTTTTGTTATTGATATAGCTACTTTTTATTGTTCGACATATGTTATTGTAAATAAAAAAGGAAAAAAAAGGAAAAAATAACTCCCTCGGTTTCGTTAGGCATTGTTCACTTGAAAAAATGATGGAGAATGAATATTCCGAAAATTTGTAGAAAAAATATCAAGACAAAAAATATGGTCAATAACTGAAACATTTTTTTAAGTAACCGTAAGTTCTATGCTGACATTTTCTTTTATCCCACTTCTCACTTGTCGTGTGTGTGTGTGCATGTGTGTGTGTGTGCGTGTGTGTGTGTGTGCGTGTGTGTGCGCGCGCACTAAAGAATTTCCCTATTTTAAACTTTTTCTTGTTGGTTATGTCTGTTGCCCAATCAATAATACTTGCAATTTACAGGAAAATTTTATTTACATCAACATCTATCTATATTTGAAATATCTTTTATCAGTTTTGGAACCCACATTTTTTACGGTCACATCACATTGAATCACCGGTTCTCGTACGACCGACGAAGTTAAGCAACGTCGAGCCTGGTCAATACTTAGATGGGTGACAGGACTACCAGGTACTGTAAACTAGGATGGACGGTTGGTGTAATGAATAATGGCTTGAAATTGTCAATCGGAAAGCCCTGTTGCGTTTGTTATTTTTTTTTACGCGCAAAATACCTTTGTAAAAGGTATGAATCCACTTCTCTCTCAGTTATGGGTTAACTATTAAGACGTGTATCACTAAATCTCCAAAAATAAAATCAAAATTTCATATAATATATTTAGATGAAGAAACCATTACTACTTGCTTAAGTTCACTTGGACCACACAGGTGACAGTTTAAAATGTGAGAGGCATTTCTCCTGCAACCTGTAGCATTGAATAAAATGTAATTGCACTTTATTTCTTAATGACTAATGTTGATAAATACAAATAAAACTATTGAGGGTTCAACTTACTAATTATAGAGAACACTTATATATATATATATATATATATATATATATATATATATATATATATATATATACATATAAGCAAATATATGGATATAGATCCGACAGTATGAAGAAAATATATACTGAAAAAAAAAACAAACAAAAATCCTAATATGCGATTATGCTGTTTTAATGTTTAATGTCAACGTCGGACGTTTCGGTTTAATAGACCATCTTCAGGACATATTCATAAAACATAATTAACATAGACCATATACAATTCAACATGAAAAAGACGACGGACATAAAAGCAATACCAATCCAAACAGATAACTGAAATCTTTTATAAGATCAGCGTTCCGTTTAAATATGATCACGTCGTCGTTACGTGGGCGATGTTATAAAAATATATAAAGTTGTTGTCTGTCTGTTTGCTTGTAATCGAACTCCTCCTAAGGTTTTGGAGATAGACCCCCCCTCCAATAACCATATATATTCTGAAACTAAATTACCCAGGATTCTTCGATAAGTATATATCATTTAGATCAAAGGAGGTCCGGGAGAGCACACCTCCCCACTGATTTTTCCCCTTGATTAAAATTAAATTTAAATTTGAACAAGGTCGTGACTCCTATCCAAAATATAGAAGGAGAAATCCAGAAGATGGAGGTCACATCGGCAAGATCATTGAGTAATATTGAAATGCATCATTTTCTCCTCAAATTATATCAATGATTTAAAATTAATCATCATTTTCTTACAAAAAAGTCACACGCATCAAGGTGCGGGTAATTTGGCTAGTATAAAATATAGATTAACCTTTTTAAAATTACACCAATGTATGAATCGCTGATAGGTTATTGAATAAATCGGGACAGGCGTCGGTAGATATTTTTAAAACGCTAGTACTAAGTATTTTTTTTAAGTATATAAATATATTGTTTGCTGAGAGGCTAAGATAATTGTTTTATCATATCTAAGTGGCTTGCTACACTTGTGCGTTTTCAAGGTCATAGATAATTATCATTTCACTGTACTTCTGTTTTTAAAGTTATACCGACATATTTATTGTCAGGAAGCCATTTTGATTGTATTAGATAAATCTTCTGTTTCTAATGCGTCTCGTCGACTTTAAAGCTGGCAAGTCCGTAGATAGTTATCTAAAGTATGTAAATATTAACATAAACGAACGTATGAATTGTTAACATATTTTGATGGGGATTAAGTTTCTTCATTCTTGCGTTGCGGGCCTACATGCCCTGTAAGTCAACAAGCCCAGAGATAGATATTTTTAGAATGTAACTGGAGCGTTTCTGAAAATTACATGAAAGTATTTCTTGTTGAGTGTCAAGAGTGATTGTATCGTGTCATTTTTTTAAATTAGAGTGAGCGTAATTACCTTTTAAGTCGGCAAGCCTGTTCGATATTTTCAATATATTGTGAGACCGGAACTACCTACACAATAGACTCTTCCAGGTCTATATTAAGTATGCGACACAACACTCTAGACTGAGTGACAGAGAGTGACATAGAGAGAGACAGTGAGAGCCGCGTACGACTACCAGTATTGGACACTAACATATAGTAAGCTCCACTTACACTATCTCTGTAACCTATTGTTAATATATCTTTCTTACATCTAATCCGTGTTCCGTGTTTTCCTTCTGTGGTCCCAACTTTGGCCCCACATCACAATATAATAATCATTTCACCCCAAGCAAGTCGATAATGCCACTACGAATCTACTTGGAGTGAAAGAGAATGAAAATACTTTAAAAGGAACCAGAAACCCAATCCTAAACATGAAACAAGGGATAAACATCTACTGCTAGTTCAAAAGAACGGGGAGGTATATGACGATAGATGAGTCTATCTACTTCTAATGAGCAAAAATAAAGAAATAAATTTTAAATAAAATTTCAGAGTTTAGGCGGAGATTTTAGAAGTATGGAATTGAAGCAGATGGAATCTGAAACACAATTCTAAACAGGAAAGAAGAGATAAACCCCCACTCCTGTTCAAAAAACCGGGGAGGGCTGTGAACAGGACGATAGGCTAATATATCTACTCTAATTTTTATTTTTATTTTTATGTATATGACTTTCATAAATGATTCATGTGAAATATTCAATAAACTATTTAAAAACGGAATTTGTGAAAACTGATTGGATGGTGATTTCTTTTATTTAAAAAATTTGACGCTTAGCTACTTTGTGTGAGCGTTTTCAAAACTTAATTGAAAAATCTAAGAAGTAATTAACATGGCAACTGTATCATATAAAGCACCGCAGTTAATTTGAAATATTCTGGCAGTTGACAAAATATAAAAAAAATAATAATTGTAATATTATTGGTCCTATAACCTGGCATCTCAGCTTCAGTCACTTTCCCCCTGGCGTAACGTAGCTTTATTGTGCTTTTTTTTTAAATAAATATTTCCATGGTAATTGTCCTGATGAACATTCTGCTATTTAAATGTTGTTATTTTTATTCACCCCCCCCCAACAGACATTGTGCATTAGTTAGCATGACATAGTGTTGTGGAGTATTTTCACAGTGGAGGCTTGTATTTCTAATAAGTCGTCCTAAATTAGGTCCGACGTACAAAACGTTAGGAACTTGGAAAATAAGAGTCAATGGCGCAGCAATCTAGTTGTGGTGGTTGGTACTTCAAATGTCCGAATCTCGACTGACGCGCACCAACACCATTCTGTATTTATCATTTCACCCACGGCCAAAAAAACGAATATGGCACAAGGCCGGTTTTATTAGGGTCTTCTCCGAGCCCGTAGGCTCGGCAAAAAAAAATAGCCTTTTGAAGCCGATTAGACGGGTTCAGGCCCTGTCTACCTCCCCGGACGAAACCTTGCCCTTCGGCAAAGCCTCGTCCGGGTTCTCTCTGCTAACGCAGAGAGTTCGACAGAAGGCGTGCGCAGTCAGAGACCGCGAGATGCCATTCGGTATTTATCATTTCACCCACGGAAACGAATATGGCACAAGGCCGGTTTTTTCGGCCAAAAAATAGCCTTTTGAAGCCGATTTACCTCCCGGACGAAACCTTGCCCTTCGGCAAAGCCTCGTATCCAGAGAGTTCGACAGGAGGCGTGCGAGCCCGTAGGCTCGGCAAAAAAATAGCCTTTTGAAGCCGATTAGACGGGTTCAGGCCCGGGTTCAGGCCTGTCTTCCCCGGACGAAACCTTGCCCTTCGGCAAAGTCTCGTCTGGTTCCTCTCTGCTAACGCAGAGAGTTCGACAGGAGGCGTCGCGCAGTCAGAGACCGCGAGATGCCATTCGGTATTTATCATTTCACCACGGAAACGAATATGGCACGAAAGGCCGGTTTTATTGATGGGTATCCCTCGAGCCCGTAGGCTCGGCCGTAGGCTCGGCCAAAAAATAGCCTTTTGAAGCCGATTAGACGGGTTCAGGCCCTATCTACCTCCCCGGACGAAACCTCGTCGGGCCCTTCGGCAAAGCTCGTCATTCGGCTTCCTCTCTGCCTAATGCAGAGAGTTCGACAGGAGGCGTGCGCAGTCAGAGACCGCGAGATGCCATTCGGTATTTATCATTTCACCCACGGGAAACGAATATGGCACAAGTTCGGTTTTATTGTGGGTTTCTCCGAGCCCGTAGGCTCGGCAAAAAAAAAAATAGCGGACGAAACCTTTTTTGAAGCCTCGTCCGGGCCGATTAGACAGGAGGCGTTTCAGGCCATTCGGTATTTATCTTTTCACCCCGGACGAAACCTTGGGCCCTTCGGCCGTAGGCTCGGCCAAAAAAAAGCCTTTTGAAGCCGATTAGACGGGTTCCTCTGCTTACCTCCCCGGACGAAACTTTTGCCCTTCGGCAAGGCAGCAGAGTTCGACAGGAGGCGTCCGCAGTCAAAGACCGCGAGATGCCATTCGGTATTTATCTTTTCACCCACGGAAACGAATATGGCACAAGGCCGGTTTTATTGGGTTTCTCCGAGCCCGTAGGCTCGGCCGGTATTATCTTTTCAAAAAAAATAGCCTTTTTGAAGCCGATTAGACGGGTTCAGGTTCCCCTGTTCTACCTGCCATTCCCCGGACGAAATGTGGGTTTGCCCTTCGGCAAAGCCGTCCTGGTTCCGTCGGGTTCTCTGCTTACGCAGAGAGTTCGACAGGAGGCGTCCGCAGTCAAAGACCGTGAGATGCCATTCGGTATTTATCTTTTCACCCACGGAAACGAATATGGCACAAGGCCGGTTTTATTCGGGTTTCTCGACGAGCCCGTAGGCTCGGCCAAAAAAATAGATTAGACGGGTTTTCCCGGAAGCCGATTAGACGGGTTTCAGACCCGTCAGGCCCGAGATGCCATTCGGCATTTATCTTTTCACCCCGGGACGAAAGGCCGGTTTTTATTGCCCTTCGGCAAAGCCGATTAGACTCAGGCCCGTCTACCTCCCCGGGAAACCTTGCCCTCTCTGCTAACGCAGAGAGTTCGACAGGAGGCGTCCGCAGTCAAAGACCGCGAGATGCCATTCGGTATTTATCGGTTTTTATTTTCACCCACGGAAAAAGAATTTGGCACAAGGCCGGTTTTTTTCGCACAAGGCCGGTTTTTGTGGGCCCGTAGGCTCGGCGGGTTCAGGCCTCATCTACCTCCCCGGACGAAAAAAATAGTTCG